AACAAACACAACTAGAAAGCAAGTCGGAGACGGAGCAAGACATAACTTAAACAAAATCCTACAAACTTCGGCTATGCATGCTTGAATGTATGAAAGCAACAACATATAGTTTACTCGAAATTTCAAAAACAATACTTCAAAATCAAAAATGCAGAAATGGAACCATTAAGAATGAAGGAAGTGAGCTGCAAATATGAAAGGAAACAGCTACACAAGACAGAGACGAATTTTGATCACGCACAATCCAACTATTAATCAAACTAGGCAAGAAAATAGTTCATTTAACTCGCTGTAGGACTTCGGATTAAGGGAGTCAACTACAAAGGCCACTGTCCATGAAGGTTTTATATGCTCCTGTTAAATAGTCCTCAATGACTCATTTATCTTTCCAAGTTTGATCATGTATGCCATAACTACAATGCTTATTGCTTTTTCTTAACCAACCTCTAGTGTTCAAAATCAGTTTGGGGTTTCCAACATGCACCTCATTTGATGGGAAAGAAAGAACATGATTAGTAAATATGAATTAGTTACAACAAGTAGCATAGAAAGAAACGATTGGAAGTATAACCCAATCGATGAAGAACTTTAAAACAATGGTGCATTTAAATGGAAGAAAGAAATACTTCAAGCAAAGCAAAAAACAAAAAACTTGTTCATATGAATTCAAAAAGAACAAAAACAACTAAATTCACATGAATTTACAGAGATACTCCAAACTCATTTAGTCTCTAAACATCAAAACATCGAAGATGTAGCCAATAGAATCGAGTTAAATGGCAAATGAGCATGGCTGGAACCAAATTTGAGCCAACAGATTCATTACAAGAGTTCAAACATTGATTCAAAATAATGACCTGCCATGAACCTTCACCACAACATCCTCAAGACAAGCAAATAAAGACTATCCGACAAACAATATGAGAATTCATTTCGAACTTACATATTAAGCTAAACACAATACAATCGAACCAAAGAACTGCATACGAGCAGTTCCAAATGGAACTTAACAAAGTTGAAGCATACTCGTCACAATAACCAATGAATCAATCACATCAAACAATCTTTCGAAGAAGAGCATAGAAGTCGAAACGAGTAAACCAAAACAGTGACGAAACAGAGGAAACAACAATACTCATCGCATCACATTCAACACTGAAACAAGATATAAATAAAAGGAAGCATTACCTTTCTCCGAGCAGCGACTAAGACTTTGCTGGTAAAGGAGACGACCTTCCACGACTACAATAAAAATCTGATCACTGTGACGAACTCTGGAAACAGTGACGGAATGAGAATAGAACGAGGAAGGGATGAAACTTTAGATTGTAATAAAGCCGATTCCAACGTTTGGGGCGTAAACTTTCACTTCCAAATTCGATTTCTATAGGTTGCCTTCAACCACTAGTGTGTAAACTACCCCCGAACTAGTGCCTTATTTTCTTCAATTCTTTGTGATTGTTTGTATTTTTGTAACAATGATAATATCCAGATAACCAACCCCTCAAACAGTGAGGAAATGGTAGTATATATAGTCATTTCTCAAAGGTGGAGAGCGGGGGGAAAACGAAAGAAGGTTTGGGGCAAATTCGTGATTCCATGTCCCCTTTTCAATTCAAAATTCTCTCTTCACCCAAAGGATAAGGACGCCAGCTAAACGAGTACGAACCTTCAACAGAACAAGCGATCGCAATCATCGAATTTGCAAGCAAAGGACGATGGAGAAAGGAGATTTCTCCACCTGGGCCTGTCCTCCAACGCCCTCGTACGACTTGCAGAGGAGGGGGACGGCTCGAGGAGTGATTGGTAAGTCCAGAAAGCGCGATAAACGGCTAATGGGTTGCGAAATTTATGGGATTTTTTTTACATGCATGTTCTGTTTTTTCTGGGGAATGCGTGTAGGAGAGGAAGAAGGGGAATCGGGTCAGGGTGGGTCGAAAGGAAAAAGGGGGAGAAGGGAATTGGGTTTGGGATTTAAGGATTATGGGCCGGGTAGGAGGAATGGGTTGGCTGGAAAATAAAAGAGGAATGTGAAAAAGAAGTAGGCCCAAATGTGGTCCTTTAAATGAATTAAAGGAAAAATGGGTTAAATGTTGATTAAAAAATTTGGGCCTCAGAAATAAAATAAAATAAAAGGTTGGAAAGGGAATTAGAGGGCATTTGCAAAAAGGCCCAAAATTGAATTGGAATTTTAAGAGGGGTTAATTTAATAAGTAGTCAAAATAAGTTAGGATAATTAATTTGGCTAAACCTTAAGTAAAAAATGAATTTGTATTAATTAATCAACGAGCTTCTTTATCTTAGTAATATAATTATTTTAATTGTAAAAATAGTGATTCAAAATATAACCATAATTTAAGCTGATTAGTTAAATAGAATACTTACTAAAATTTAAAATATTTTGAGAAAAATCGTAAAATATACCAACTACATACATAATCATATAAAATATATAGGCTATCTAAAATTATAAGAAAAATGACACAAGTATTCAAAATAACATAAAGTTCATATATTATTATTATTTTTTGTAAAATTTATAAAACTAATTATTTTAAATTGTTTGGAAATTTAAGAAGCTCGAAAACTAATTTATACCGAGGAGGGTCGAAATTGGGTGTCAACAATGGTTAGATCATAGATATACAAATCATAATTTGGCAAATTGCTTTTAATTTAGTCAGCTATTTATTGCATTAGAGCAAAAAAAGACAAAAAAAAAAATACAAAGCTACAAAGCAATCCAAAAGGAAGATTATAGTACAGAAAGAATGCCACAAATGTAATGTTACCATTGTAATAAATAAATATGTCCCTTGATTTGACTTTAGTTAATTTGTCCTTCAACTTTTAATTTACATAACTGAATTTTATAAAATTAAACAAATAAATATATTATTTTTAAGTATCGTCCTACATGACAATTTTATGTCCTATGTGACGTCCCACATGTATTATGACACGTAAGACATATATGTATTTACTTGTTTAATTTCATACAATTTTTAGTATCTATTTATGCTTATTAAAAATTGGAGGACATAAATATGTGTTAAAATTAAATTAAAGGACTTATTAAAAGGTTTATATAATAGTTAGGGAGTGTTCTCTTCAAAAAAAAATTTTGCTCATCTGTTTAAGTTTGTGTTTCCCTTTTAGAAAATACTCTAAAACACCTTGCAATCAATTGTTATCATTTATGTTTTTGGGGAATTAAAATCAATGGAGGTAGAAAATAGTGAAAAGGGTAGAATTCTGATTGTGGATGATATCAATTGTCATCTTACAACTATTGTGTCACGCAAGTATTCTCAATTTGAAGGTACTTTATTTTTCGTTAAACGTGCGAGATAGTAAATTTAAAGTGTGATGACACGTGTTCCATTCCAAAATAGGGTATTTTTTTTATTTTTTTTCTTGATCTAAGAGTTTATGTACATCAAAATTGACATTAAATGAATTAAAGGGTCTTCTAAATTTAATTAAATCAAAACTGACATCAAATGAATTAAAGGGCCTTCTAAATTTAATCAAGTACAACTACATGAAAATTTAAACTAGACAATTATTCTTTCCATATCTATTAATGAATTTTGACAGTACAAAATCATGAAGACACCACTATATTTTTATTATATATGTAAAACTAATTTTAACATAAAATCTATATATAATATACATTTAATTAATGCAATTTTGGGTTGGTCCAATTTTATAACATATGTATTAGGTTATGTTGGTATTTACGTATTATCTAATGCGCAATGAGATATGAAGAAAGTATCGATCCGATGAAATCAATAACTTCTTTGAGAAATTCTTTATTATTTATCTTAAATAATTTTTAAAAAACTTAATACTTTATAGGAAATGATATGAAGAACTCATTAACTTTAAATTATGAATCCTCTTCTGAATAACCATGAGATTAGACTATTTAAGGACAAAGATACCTTTTATGTAAGAAATTCTTATATAACAGTAATAACTCATTATTACTATTAATTACTTAGAGCATTAGTCAAAAAGAATGCCACTAGTATAAATTGATTTAATAATCTAGGCATAACAATTTATTTAAGAAATCTATAAAATAACACATTTAATAAAATAGATCTTTAATCAAGAAGCCCATTCAATCTAGTAATTAATGTAAGTATACTCGTTTAGTTTAAGTAATTAATGTAAGTATACTCGTTTAGTTTAAGGAATTGATACTCTATTTTTAGCAATAAAACTTAATATTATTCTTGTACACTCTACCAAATGACCCTTTAGTAATATACACCATTATACACAATAGCGTCTAACTAATTTAAGCTATACATAACATAAAAATTGTAGCAAGCAAGGTATTGTTAATATACATAACTAATATATGTATTTTTTAAGTATATTATTTTTACTGATACACTCTACCAAACGACCTTTTAAGTGTAGAAAATGAAAAGAACCGTGAATTATAATCAGTTACTCCTTGTAAATTGTTACGTGAAATGTCTTCGTCTTAGTAAATTTTTCCTCACTTCGCACAATTATAAAAATCTTATTAGACTTGTGATTAATCTTTTTATATCCAAAATTACAAGTACTTAATAATTATATTTTAAGAAGTTTATATTTTCTTTTATTAAATAAAAAGCTAAACGGATAAGTTTATAGATCCAACCCATATGTACTTTGTAAAATTTAAAATTTATTAATAATTAAATCATCATCAACATGTTAGAGGATAATCATTTACGCCTCATTTGTTTGCACTTAATGGAGGTCTGAATCGTAATCATTCAGATTCAGCCTATTAAGTTACATTTGATATCAATCAAAAGGGATGATACAACATCTCAATAAATTAAATTCCGCTATGACATATAATCACTTCAATAATCACAATTATACGGGTTCAACCACACACAAGAAATTAAGTTACTAAATACTTCAGCTAATGCCCATATGCTTTGACATTCTCAAATTACAATATACCATATTATAGTAATAGATTTTCCTTTTTATAACATTGGTACTCGTACCAATGCCCGTCACACCATTGGTACAAGACCCCATATTTCACCCTTACCCATTGTCTATTCCATTTTAATCTTTAATAAAAAAAACATCCCTCAACGAAGTCTAAAAGTCTTAACATACCTTGAATGTTGAATACGTGCCACGAATCTTCAAGATAGTTCTCCCCTATTCGTAAAGCTTCAGGACATTCTCAATCTACCAATTGTACCTTACTCGTAATCAAACAAGTTCGTATAACACTTCCTTATATAATCCGGATCTTCCACTGTTTTCGTAACCAAACAACAACCAATCAAGGAATAATAAGAGTAAACAAAGAAACCCTAAAGTATAGCCAGGCTACTATTAATTTAACAAAGGCACGCTTGGCATATATAAGAACTTTGGAATGGAACAAGAGTCCTCACATTATTACTTCGTCTCTGCCCTCAATATGACCCTCAAATCTCTCCCTAAAACTACACTAACTACAACAATTATAATTTCAATATTAACAAAGTAACAGCAAGCTCCAACTACAAAGAAAAGGCAGAACAAAATTATATGTGGCTACTATATTTCAATTAACTATCATATATAATCCTTCCAGTGATTAGCTACTTACTACTACTAATTAATTAAACAACCTTCTAATCCGTGCCTCAATTAATTATAATCATTAGTTATCAATTGATTCAACAAATTGTGCCTCCAAAAATCCCCAAAAAAAACCCACACTTACGCTACATTCACTGCCAAGTTTAGCTAACTTCCAATTCCTTAACAACTTAACTAATATAATACTAATTTATCTTTTGATACTAGCAATTTAATCATACAAGGCCAAAAACAAAAAATTTCATCAACTCACCTGCAATTTGATGAGTTGTCCACGTCTTCGTCGGTAGTTTCTGTGCCCTTTTTTTTCTTCTTCTAATCTATATATACTTAAGTATTAAAAGTGGCTAATTCCACTAACCTAATTTAATTACATGGGTCAAGTATAAAATAGATTAAATTAATTATGGATTTGGCCCACTAACTATTAACTATATTAATTATTTATTAAAATTTTCATCAACTAGATACTCTTAGTTATCGAATATTTCGAAGTTTCCATTTAAATTTTACCAAAAAGTCAAAATAGTTCCAGTTCTCAAAACGACCTAGCGGGTCGTTACATATTTATATTAATAGTTTTCTTATATTGACTGTGTCAAGAACACAGTTGGTGTATTGGTGTTTATCAAGATTTTTGGATGAAAAAATAGTACTGCAAATCATGATTAACTTTTAAAACTTTTTTTTAATAAAAAATGATATGTTTTGTTGAAATAAAATTTTTATGATATTTTATTAATTCAATATTAATTTCACAAGCACATTCAGATATTGAAAAAAGATATTGAAAACAAACAACATTAATTATTTAGTGTTTAGATTTAGAGATCACATCTTAATATTCAGATGTGTATTCAGATCAAAACACGTGAATCTTAACACAAATCTTAATATTCAGATTTGTATTCAGATTGAGGCTTTACTTACATACAACATATTTGTCACGTTAAATAAAATATACAAGGTACTTTAAAAATATTCTATCTTTATTTTAGAAAATACAAATTATCTATTAGAATTTTTATTGAATCTCTTTCCACTTTCATGGCAAAGTGATTGTGTTAGAATGTATTATGAGTTCACCAATGATAATTGGATCAGGTCTCCCAATAAAATAATAATATGAAAAATAAAAAAATCAAAGTAAATAAAACACAATAATTTTACATAAAATTTCCTTACTCAAGAAATATGAAACCACGACATGAGTATTTATCTACAATGACTAGGAGATCTAGCAACAGTTAGATAGACCAAAAGATACATTCACTTTGTGTTTATGCCTTCATGGAAATATGTTGAATGTTGAGAGACTGATTAATGGGAAATGATTATCTCATGTATGAATGTAGATTCTACTTGTGTGTTGTGCAAATGTTTTGATGACTATAGAGATCACTTTATAAACATTGAAATTTTTGTAGTACTCTATAGGATATGTTTAATTTGAATTGGGACTTTAGAAGGCGTGTTCACTTTTAAATAAAATTCTTGGAAGCTATTCAACGCTGAACCCTAGTTTATGCTTATATAAAATATACTGAATTCTCTTAAAATACATCTTGAAAATTCCTTAAAGAGAACAAGATCTTGAATATTCCATAAATTAATGGTACATTCATATACAGGGCAAATCTAAATCATCCTAGTTCGAGAAATACGCCACTAACGATCCTCGAATCATGGATAAAAATCTTATGAGAAGAGAATCTAGGGAGGAACATAAATGTAATGAATAAAGTCGTGTTTCTTCTTATTTTATTTGTGATTGTAATTTATTTTCGATCACATTAAAATTTATTGCAAACACACTTATTTGATGTTTGATTCTATGGTAGAATAGATTATTAACTTTGATTGGCCAACCTTCTATGATTCCACTGTCATGGATACACTACAAAAAATTAAATATGATATATAGCTATGAAACTATTAAATACGACTAGGGGTGTTAAAAATTAGCCAAACATAGGTAACCCGTCCAATCCGCTCAGAATTTTAAGGGTTGGGCTCAAGATAATTTGAATTGGGTTCAATCTCAACCCATTCAAGCATAACCCATTTGAAGAGAATCCTCAATTGAGACCAATTCAATCTTCAATTTCAACCAGTTTTAAAACTTTTTATTAAGATATATTTTTTGCCTCTCGTTGCTTCTGAGGCAGTTTCAAGTTTAAGCCGATCCTCGAGGTCCAGTAAAAGGCCTTCGCTCCTATGTCAATGGTTGGGATAGCTGGCTTACCTTTATATTTAAGGTATGAATTATTATCTATTAACATTCTTTTAGGGTTTATCTATCCATTTGTTATTTTTTTAAAAGACTCTTGAGCTAAAATTGTGATTATAAAAGTTAAATATCAATATGTTAAATTATTGAGATTAATCGGGTCAAATTGGGCGGGTCAAGACCCAAACCATTTTTTGCTCATTTGAGCCTAGAGTAAACTTGGGCGGGGTCAAGACCAAACCCGACTTTTTTTAAACCATTTTAATATTCTCAATTTCGACCCAACACGCCCATTTGAAGCCCCTAATAACAAAAAAAATTCTTCACTAATTGTTCATTTTTAGTGACAAAATTTAGTTTTCGTGCTCGTATGAGACATATTCTTTTGGTGACGAAACATAAAAATCCGCAAAGTTTTGTCCATTAAAGTGTTTCACGAAAAAAATTAATTCACACTATTTGTTAAATAGTGTTAGTCACGAATTTAAAGTTACGAGTGACACATTATTCCCTCACCAATAATGTATCTAATTCATGACAAAAAAATTTCTTAAATTTATTAATTTTTGAACTCAAAAAAATTTCATCTAAATATATATTGTTACAATATTGACAAATTAGAGTTCGTAGATAAATATTAAGTTTTAGCAATAAAAATTTAGATTTAGTTAAGACATTTATTTTTGTCACTAATAATATAAATACTTTGTGAAAGATATTTTTATCGTCTCTAATCAATCTGTGATTTAATAATAAAAAAGATTGTCACAAAATGTGTAAGATTTTAAATAGCAACGACTTAAAATTTATAATAAATAATTAAATAATCTGCTCCAAATTTATTTTTTCCAGCTAAATATAATTTTTAACTACAATTATTTATAATTACAAGTAACAACTAATATAAAAATATTAATACAAGTACCAACATCCAGAATGGAGCCTAAATGTGAAAAAGGAAATTTTATCTTTAGAATGCTTTGACTGCAAGAATGACTATGAATTTACTAAAATTGAAGCAAATATCTTGTATATTAATTATCTAAATCATGGTTAGATCATAGATATATACAATTCATAATTTGGCAAATAGCTTTTAATTTAATCAGTTGTTTATTGCGTTAGAGCAAAAAAGGACAAAAAAAATTAAATACAAATTTACTAAGCAATCCAAAAGGAAGATTCTAGTACAAAAAGAATGCCACAAATGTATGTTTACCATCACAATAAATAAATATGTTCTTTAATTTAGCTTTAATTAATATTTTTA